ACTACCCAATGACTGCACAATGATAAAATGTTGTGGCTGGTTGCCATGGTTGCTAAGGCACACTGAGGTGTTTTGCATTGGGGCTGATAGGGTGGTCTGACTGTTTGCTAAGACATAGCTAGGTTGCCGCTAACTAAAGTTGTCCACGATGATAACATGAGCTATTTTAGCATGTTGTCAAGTTGCTTATTGCAGTAAAAAAAGTAATTTTAACCACATATAATAAAAATTTTCTAAAAACATTTTGAAAATATCGCTAAATCTGAAAAACAAATGTGCAAATCTGTAATTGAAAACAGGCATTTCACTTTGGAAGTTTATTTACTCCCCCCATATACATCGTCTGCTAGTCCTAGGATTTAAACCGGCAACCTTTAGAGTAGATGCAATTAAAACATCCCACCCACAGGTCTCAATGATACTCTGGTCTCCAGGTATGACACAGAAGCTCCCATTAGCTTAAATCCACAGGATGTTTCCACCTATTTGAATGAATAGCGGTGAAAATTAAAAGTCTGATCACTAAACAAAAGTAAATAGCACACCTCTCTTTAACAAGCCGCACAATCTGGGCTATAATTCACATCAGCACACAAGTCACGACGAGTTGCCTTTAATACTCGGGGTTAGGGGTTTGTTTAGTCCCTAACCCTTAGTGTGATCAATATTAATGGCCATGCTTGCCTTTGCAAGTACCGCTAATTACGAAATTTCCAGTGATTCATTTCTTATGTGAGAACAACGCCCCGTCATGACCCACATAGACTGAGTGGCGCCGACCACACCTCTCAACTTTATTGTGACCTTAAAGCGATGTTCATGCTGAGCTAATAATTATGCACAGCTAATAAGGATTCACGTCTATTTTCAAACATGAAAATTATGTGTCAGCAGCAGTTAAGTAAGAGAAAAAAAAGTATCGCTAAACGGCAATGATGGCAAAGCAATGACTAGCAGGCTGGCGAGTTAAATCTGTCTGAAAGAAAAGATGACCGTCGGAGCCTGGGAGAAGCAGCGGAGAAAAGAAGCCAGCGAGCGGGTGGGACGGAGGGAGGGGCACGTGGTAGTAATAACCTGATTTATTTTTAGAGGGCCTTTTGTTTTTCCTGGAAGGTCTTGAAGAAAACCTCCCATTGGGCCTCGGTTTGAAGCTAACTGTGGTAGTCTGGGACTTACTGCGGTCACCATTCCGTATTATCTTACATCCTTCATGCTGCCAAATAGTGCTTCATTTCAAAAGAACGTTGTGGTAGGTCACTGCCGACCTGCCAAATTTTGCTCCCAAACAGAAGCTGGCCTCCTCCGAATTGACTAAGAATCACAGAGTGGCCTAATTGGCCGACGGCACAGTAATTGAATCAGGAGGCAAATACCACAGAGGTTAGCGTTTGGCAAATGTGAGCTTCTCAAAGAGCACAGCGCACAGCCTGAAACCCCTGTAAGTCTTAAGAAGAAAACACAATCAGAGAGAAATCAGATCACTTCACTTGCGCTCGTCCGATATAGCCAGGGACGTTTCAGGGAATTCAAGAAGACGTGATATTTTCCAAACTTCTCTATCTTAAACTGAATGATGAGATTACTTACAAATAAATGCAAGCAACTTATTCACTGGTGTAGAAGTGTAAATGTCAACGGTATTAGTGTTACAGTACACAAACTCAAGAACAAGAGTGAAATAAAATGATAAGACTGATGGATTGGTGTGGTTTTTCAGCTGTGAACATAAGAGGTGTTAGTGGAGACGTGACAAATGTGTCCAGCCTGCCCCTAGTCAATATTTGAAAAGGTGTGGAGAGGAAACAGGAACAGAAAGAAGGTATTAAAACACTTTTCCTGTTCAGTATAATGAGAATTAATGATTGTTTTTTTTTTTTTTTTTTTAAGTTTTCTTTAAAGCTCTGCTCCAAACAAATCCTTATACAGTATACTGTAACAATGTAGTACTAAATTTAGACCATTTAAATAGCGTATTTTTGAAACGAGAAGCATTTTAGATTAAAAAAATCTAAATCACTGACCCCAAGTGGCATGAATGAATAAATATCTCTTTTGGTTTTCTTTTGATGAAATATTGGTCGAATCTTTAATGTTGTATAAAATAAATCTTATATTTGGGCTGCACAATAAATCTTTGAGCATCGATATTGCAATGTGTGCGTTCACAATAGTCACTTCGCAAGATATGCAAAGTTGAGTTGGAATTATAGTTGACCAGAATCCTCAGGTTAAAACACATGAGATTTGTGGAGTCACTGCAAAATCTAACTATTAAAGAGTGAAAATGTAACATTTTCATGTGTTTATAAGGCCTGCAGTAAGTGAACATTTTTAGAGTTTAAATCACATTAAAACATATAGAGCATTTAAAAATAGATTTATTTTATAGAATTGTTTATATGATAAAGACTATACAATGCTCTTTTACATTTAATTATTCAATTTCTGTACCTGAATACTGTTAGATTCTCCCTAGAAAACTATAAAGCGCTGTTTGTTTCACTATAACATTTGCTCCATTGTGTTTATTTATGAATGAAGTTTGTTTATTTATAATTACATTTTTTCCTTTATGTGTATTATATGTATACCATAATTTACATATACATATATTTTATTTCATTCCCAAACAAAATTATCCCAATCAATCTAAAGTAATGACTTTCCAAACAGAGCTTTTGAAGTCATGTGGTAAAATTGTTTTTATATCGCAATATATATCGCAGGGAAAGATTATTGCCAATATGTCAATTTTTTTTCAAAATCGTGCAGCCCTAATAAATATATATTAAAGATATTCTTCTTTCTTTCTGATTTTTTATTTCTTGAATATTATTATTATATTATTAGTATTCTTGTATTAATATTTTATTTGACATTCATAAAATTACAGGTCAAAACAAGAATATCTTCATGAATGTGGATCACTGGCTACATGGACTGGCCAGATTTCAGGATTTTCACATACAACCATCTTCAGTGGTTTATGGTAAATTATATAAAAAAAAATAAATTAAAGAAGAACAAGAAAAATGTACAGTTCTGTGTGTGAAATGGCTTGTTGATGCCAGAGGTTGATGATCAAAGGAGTATGACCAGAATGGTTCAACATATTTACACATAAAGAAATATAACTGTAATTTATAGTAAATACTATAGTGTTAATGAACCATACTCTAGTAAAGTGTATTATGCTGCAGGGGCTTAACTTTCACTAGGAACACATGACAATGACCACTAAACTTAACAGTCATCTCAAACTTAATAATATTTCCCAAAGGTAGCATGTACAGTTCAAAAAGCAATGGTCTGAGTACTGAGGCTTGCAGTACTTCATTATGAACTTGTTTTATCAGGCCTCAAAGATATATATATATCTATGGTTATATATATATATATATATATATATATATATATATATATAAACAATGCAGGCTTCATATATTGTATCTAGGGTTGTAACAATATACCGGTATGACGGTTTACCACGATTTGAACGTGCACGATTATCATACCATGAACAATTGCATATCAACGGTTTTAACCCTTAAAGACCGAGACAGCCGCCCGCGGCTAAAAATAAGTATTGCTCTTAAATGTTTAATAACTTTTGATCCGCTGATCCGATTCATACAATTCAAAGATTGGCATAAAGAAGAGAATCTCAGCTTTCCAGTGCTGTATCACATCACATTCGCGGACTTTCAGAGGCTCCGGAATCAGTGCGGTTACGTCATCAAAATTTGACAACGCTGATTTGACAAAGAAACGCTCGTCACTGTGTCTCCGGACAAATCAGACATGATACATTGATGCAATGTCCCTCCTCCATGCCCAGATTGGTTCAAACTCGCTATATCACAACCAATAAGCATAGGTTTCGCTTTTGTTTGTGGACCAAGCTTTTTGAACAACACGGAATGAGAGAAAGGCATACATTTATGCGCGGCTAAATAAAACGCAAAAAAAAAAAAGTTTTGCATGAAATAATTCTCATACTAAGTACTTTTGCATGCACAGCAGCACAGAAACATGACAAAACAGTGACACAGCAAAGACGAACTGCTGCTCTTGCTGTTTTCAAAAGACGCAAATGAAGATGCAGCTGTTTGTCTGCATTGCAGACAACCATATCCATATCCATAGACAACCATATCCATGCTGGCACATAAAACCTAGGGATGTTCCATATTGAATCTAGTTTCGTTATGTAACTATTTATAGTATAGTAAATATTTATATCTATTTTTTACTGAGGATTTGCACCATGTTTATTTGGACTTTATTTGGACTTTGACACATTATTTATTATTTTCTTATTTTTATTTGTTCATTGTAAGTGGTGTTGTTTATAGTAACTAAAAATATATTATTTGGAAAAAGTCAAATTTGCTTCACTGTTCTATTATTTTGTAACATACCATATACCGCGAAACCGTCAAACCGTGGTATTGTTTTAGACGATTATCATACCGTGAAAAATTCATACCGTTACAACCCTAATTGTATCTTAATGTTTTATTAATATTAAACTTAACAGTCATCACATCTCAGTTCAATTGAGTACCAAAGGAAAAAAAAATTTCCAGCATTTTGTTAAATCTACGCCAATAAGGAAAAAGGGGATGTACAGTATCTTGTATTACAACTCAAATGTATAACTAATAAAGTGACCTGGGAGTCACCATGCACATTTATCTACAACAAAACTACTTTAACATCAACAAGACTACAAAAAAAAGAGATCAGCCTACAATCATGAAGACACTAAACAGCAATAATGTGAATGCACCGAGGCCATAAAGCAGATGTTTTCAATCTTTTGAGTTTCCTGACTGTCACACAAAAAAATTCAACATAATTAATGAGACCACAAAATAGTAGATAGAGATAAATATACAGTACATATGCACAGATGTTGACGCTGGGAGCTGGAGGTGAAGTAAACAGTCGATTGCAGGAATGTGTGTTGCGGAAGAGAATGTGGGAGTGATTTTTACCTCAGCATCCTGAGCCTGTAGGTTATAAGTGGACTGAAGGAGTCTCAGCGTGGACGCACTCAGATTGCATTCCTCTAGAAGAAACTCCAGCAGAAGCACCAGCTGCTCTGGATTCAGCTGAAACAGACAAACACACAGATTATCGATGAGTTGTAAATTATTATTATTATTATTATTCAAATGCTTAGGTTCGTGTGTGTGTTTTAAGGCTACACATGTACACCATTTCTTTACATTTAAATAAACTAGACTTCTGCTTTAAATAAATGCTTTTTTAAAGATTCCTAAAAACAATTTTGCTAAATATTAAGCAGCACAAATGTTTCCAACATTGATGATAACACTACAAAAAATCTTTGAAAAAAAGGTCATTTAAACTATAATAAATCTTTAAAGGTCCCGTAAAGTGCTTTGAAATATGCTTTTTTTTTCAATGTTTGATGTAATCTACAAAACACGATAAGAGGGTGGGAAATAGAGTAGTAAACGTTTTGTTTTATCACAGCTCTGGCAGTGAGAGTGGTTGAGCTTAAGTGCATCAAATGAAAAGCAAATGAGGAGCGTCTGGAAGAAGCGGGGCATGTCAGATACTAGAAAGCATTTGACTGGTTATGATGTGATGAGAAACTGTACACTACCTGACAAAAGTCTTGTCACTTATACAAGTTTTAGGAACAACAAATAATAACTTGACTTCTAGTTGAACATGCCTTGATTTTTAATTATATAATTAGGACAAAGAAAGTGTTTTTTCAGGACTCCCAGAATTCATAAAGATACTTTGGATTCATCTTCAATGCCTCCTCCATCTTACCCCAGACATGCTCAATAATGTTCATCTCTGGTGACTGGGCTGGTCAATCCAGGAGCACCTTGACCTACTTTGCTTTCAGGAACTTCGATGTGGAGGCTGAAGTATGAGAAGGAGCGCTATCCTGCTGAAGAATTTGCCCTTTATGTGGTTTGTAAGGTAATGGGCAAATGTCTTGATACCTTAGGCTGTGAATGTTGCCATTTACTCTGCGGATCTCTTGCACACCCTCATACTGAATGTAATCCCAAACCATGATTTTTACTTCACCAAACTTGACTGATGTCTATGAAATTCCTGGGTCCATGCAGGTTCCAATACAGTAGGTCTTCTGCAGTATTTGTGATGATTGGGAGGCAGTTCAACAGATGATTCATTGGAAAAATCTACCTTCTGACACGTTTTCAAATGATCCACAAGAAGTCAAAGGATTATTCGTTGCTCTTACAGAAAGGATCGACGACAAGACTTTTGTCAGGTAGTGTAGTATGAGGTGATGTTTACATGTACATGTTTCTATCAGTTTTATGACTTCTAAATGCAAATCTTGTCACTGTTTTAAGTCACACCAGCTTATAGATATCCTAGAAATGAAAAATACTGATATTAATATCTATAACAACTTAAAACCTGAAAAATATGAATGTTTGATAATATATATTTAATCACCCAGATAAAAACAGCCAACAAAAAAAGAGATATCTTTCAAACCATGAATGTTTGAACATTAGTGTGTATTATTAGTATTTAAATTATTGTAATTTGTAATATATTTGTAATATTTTGATAATTCAAATAGAAGCAAATTATCATTTAAATATGATGTTACATTCCTGTACATTTCTGTGTTGCGTAATTATTATTTATAGATATATTTTTCTCGCTAGTCTCTTTCTTTCTCTCTTTCTCTCTCTCTCTCTCTCTCTCTCTCCGTGCTCGCTTGCTCTCTACCTCTCTCCCGCTTCCACCTATACAGTGGCTCCGATTGGCTACCGCTGCCCAGCTGTTTGCCGTGCCCCCCTTGACGTCATCCAAGGTCTCCAATCCAGCCGCTGCCACCGTGGCATAAAAGTGGTGACAGGACGCTACACTGGAGGCCCTGAATTTCTGTGTTGTGCTGTGTGTCTGTGGTTTTTTGATATATGTCTGCTGTGTGTAACAATTTGGTATCTGTCCGTTATTTGTTCTCCATTTGTCTACCGTCGATGTCATGCGCATCTGAGGTTGGAGAGTGGGACAGGTAAGAATGTCGTGCGACATACATTGTGCACAAGTAGCTTGAATATCTTTGTATTAGACACACTAGGTAAGGGGCGTGCTCCACCCACTGTACTTTTGGTTTTTCCATCAAAGATCAGCGTAGGTTAGGTAGTGCGTATTAGACGCGAAGATTCTTTTCAATAACTTCTGCATTTTTATTTTGGATAGATAGGGTAGAGATTGGGCCAAATAGATTGTTTTTGTTTTATTTATTTTTATTGTTTGGATGCCGCCCGCGTCTCATTTCTCCAACTCTCCCATATCTGGTCAAACGTCTTATGCATTAGTCATCTGTGAAATTCAATGTCTCTTTGTAAATATTCAAGAATCTTTCTATGTACATTTTTTTTGGCATTCATTATTATCACTATTTTTGTAAATAAAATCACGTATTGCATTTAGCTGGTCTTGGTTTTTGTCCCTCATTTATTGATGTTGTGTGGTTGCTTATGTGTTTCACCCAAAAGTTAATGTTACTCCTCTTCCCCTTTATTTAACATCATTTAAATCGTAACAATGAACATAAACATAATTAATGGGATAAAATACTTATTTGATTAGAGACCAAGAAATTATGGAGAAACCTTGTCAAAATATTGTCTTCATTCTGTATATACAGTTGAAGTCAGAATTATTAGCCCCCCTGAATTATTAGCCCCAGTTTATTTTTCCCCCCAATTTCTATTTAATAGAGTGATTTTCTTAACACATTTCTAAACATAATAGTTTTAATAACTCATTTCTAATAACTGATTAATTTTATCTTTGCCATAATGACAGTAAACACAATTTGACTAGACATTTTTCAAGACACTTCTATGCAGTTTAAAGTGACATTTAAAGGCCAAACTAGGTTAATTAGTTTAACTAGGCAGGTTAGGGTAATTAGGCAAGTTATTGTATAACAATGGTTTATTCTGTAGACTATCGAAAAAATTAGCTTAAAGTGTAATAATTTTGTCCCTAAAATGTTGTTTGAAAATTTAAAAGCTGCTTTTATTCTAGCCGAAATAAAAGAAATAAGACTTTCTCCAAAAGAAAAAATATCTTCAGACATACTGTGAAAATTTCCTTGCTCTGTTCATTTTGGAAGCAATAAAAAAATCAAAGGGGGGCTAATAATTCTGACTTTAACTGTATATAATATATCTATACAATTCGTTCTCTTTAACAGCCCTGATTTCCAATGAGGTTATAAATGCAGCATTCAATAAGACTTTTCACACAAAGACAAAGCCTTGGATAAAACACACCTCAAAAATGATTTACAAGCTTTAAATGCCATCACAAATGACATCCATGAACCACCATGGCATTTTCAGCAGGTTGAATAAGACATCAATGGCGTCTTTGAAGAGTATCAGAGAAGCTGAGCGGGAAGAGGAATCCAGCGAGGTAAAAAAAAGCAGAGTGAGAGGAAATCACATATTGTGCATATTAAACCTCCCTTAAAAGAGCTCCTCTGATAATCTTCAGAATAAGAGAGGGAGAAAAAAATCACATTTCTCCAAACAGCAAACTCCGCAGAATGGTTTCTAGAGTATAGACAGCTAATGGAAGGAATGCTTTGGGAATTGAGCGCTGGAAAGATGCTTTAAAGTCTCATCTTGCAATATGGAAATCAGGCTCTAAACCAATTATTGCATGAAATGGCTGTATTTACAGGGGATTAGGTTTCTTTTTTTAATTCTTATACTGCTTACTCTTGTTTTAACCCATATTTTGCTTTCTAAAACTTAACATTCCAGACCATTTGGAGGAGCAAGTCGCAACAGTCTCCGGCGTGTAGAAATGAAAAGCCCCATGTGTCGAATGTTGCCATGAGATTATCAACAAAAAAAAAAATTGTTGCCCTTTTAAAGGCATGGGAGACATTATGAGTCATCCTCATAACACATGCCGACAAACATTTATAAAGGCACGACGTGAGTCAGAGAGAAATAATCAAGAATATCGCTGACCTGACGGCATGCTTATATTATTTGCTGGGGTGTGTGTGAGAAGGAAAACATAGCAGTAGATTCTGTCCCGCTGCTTTTAGCACACATTAAAAATAACTGTTAATAACATTTATGGTAAAAATATAATAAAATCTGCAGCAGTGACAATGTTTCATAACATGTGTTGTGTTATTATTACAATTAACCTGAACTAAAAGGTTAAAATCTTGCCATAAAACCGATTTAAATTAATATTTTTATTTTAGAATCATTGAGGTAGCATTAGATTATTTGGTCACATTTTATTTTGATGGTCCGTTTGTTACAATGCATTTACAGTTGAAGTCAGAATTATTAGCCCCCCCTGTTTATTTTCCCCCCAATTTAACAGAGAGAACATTTCAACACATTTCTAAACATAATAGTTTTAATAACTCATTTCTAATAACTCATTTGTTTTATCTTTGCCATGATGACAGTAAACAATATTTGACTAGATATTTTTCAAGACACTTCTATACAGCTTAAAGTGACATTTAAAGGCTTAACTAGGTTAATTAGGTTAACTAGGCAGGTTAGGGTAATTAGGCAAGTTGTTGTCTAACAATGGTTTATATCGGAAAAAATATAGCTTAAAGGGGCTAATCATTTTGACGTTAAAATGGTGCTTAAAAAAATAAAAACTGCTTTTATTCTAGCCAAATTAAAACAAATAAGACTTTCCCAAGAAGAAAAAATATTATAACACGTATTGTGAAAATTTTCTTGCTCTGTTAAACAATTTGGGAAATATTTAAAAAAGAAAAAAAAATTAAAGGGGGCTAAAAATTCTTACTTCAACTGTACATGTCAATTAATTCTCTTTAAATTATAAGTAGACTGTTAGGTTGGGGTTAGGGTAAGTTGACATCTACTTGCAAAGTTTCTTACCTTCAGTTAAATGTCTGTTACAGCAGTATCTACAGATGTTAAGCAGACAGTCTACAAATACTCAAAATACCATCAAAATAAAGTGTTACTGATTATTTTATTGTTTTTTTTTTCTATTTTTGTATTTTACTATTTTCACTTTTTTTAATTTAGTTGCAGTTTTTATATTAATTATT